CCCAAGGACCGCAACCTTAGATTTGGGACATCCCACAATAGTACGATCGACTTTACAACTGGGCAATTCCATTGCATCCAGGAGCAAATGGTTTGCCATCGTCGATGCATTCGGCCGACGGCCTTAGAGTGGTAGATAGGGTTTTAACCACTAAAGAATCTAGGAATGACTGTGTTCTGATTTCGAAGCCCTGCACCTCTTGGCGATCTCGATCTTGATCTCGTCACAGGGCTGCCTGCGGTGTCGACAGGGATATATTTTCATGCTATCTTAATGTTAACCCTTATACTTATCGCGGTTCAGGGGACAGGCATATGAAAATCGAACTGCAAAAACATGAATATATATATATATATATATATATATATATTCGTGTTTTTGCAGTTCGATTTTCAAGGGTTCAGGGCTATAAAGAAGGCTTTGGGCATTAAGTGGTTGTGAAGCATGTTGTCCTGCGACTGATACACCGCTTACGTATACGCCTTATTAGCCCAGAAGACGAAACGATCGATATTATAAATTAGCTATATATGCTTCAAAGCTTCGATTTCGTTCCAAAGTTGGAATTGGATCCCATAGGATACACGTTATCACTCGAAGTTTAAGATAAGCTTAGGTTTTAGGCTTTGAGGGTATGGGTTTAGAGTTTGAAGCTTTGGGGCTTCAAGGTTTTATTTAGACATTCAGGAAGTTCAAGATGAAGCGTTTTGCATTGCATGATGGACTTGGGGCTTTCAGGGCTACGTAGGAGTACTGTAGTAGTACGAGTACTAGTAGTGGCAATTGATCGCTATCACGCGGCGCGAGAGCATTGGCCTTCGGCGACATCAAGAGCATCAGGGTCGCTTTCGAGCGGCCGACGGCTGTATACTGTCAACAATCGCCGTCTTTTCAGCATCAAGGTCGTGGGGCCTCGACATCGACGTCACCTCCATTTGCGTGGACGATATCACTGACCGGTCGGAAGTGTCCAGGACAGCAAGGTCCTTGTGCCTGTTCATGTGCATGGCAGGAGATATGGACAACTTCAACTTCGACCCCACGTGGTCAGATCGCCACCTTTCCGAAGGACAACGTGGTCGACGATTTACTCCTTGTTGGCGGCGTGGTTCCGCTCTGCATCGCTTCCCGCACCCACCCACCCACCTGCCCGCTAACAAAACACGCGCGCCCAAATATAGATAGACGAAATTGTAGCAGTAGTAGCAGTAACCCGTAGCTATGTTTAAAGGCCCTTCAACCAGTATTCAGAAGATCACACAGATCCGACCCAGAACACGAACCCGACCCAACTTCGAATTCGATGCCTTGATATATCATGATCAGCTCAATCATTCCCTAAACATTAAATATCCGAACCCGGTGAACCCTCAAGCCCTGAACCAGGCCCACGAAACCCTTAATCCCAAACCACAAACCCCATCTAAACCTCTTACGCCTCCGAACCCGGATAGGCCTAAACCCGAAACCCTAAACCCCAAGCCCTCGACCCATCGACCTCCGAATCCGGTGAATTCTAAAGCCGTGAACCCTAGGCCTAAACCCCAAAACCCTAAACCCAAAACCCCAGGCCCTCGACCCCTCAAGCTCCAAACCCGGTTAACCCTAAAGCCCTGAACCCTAAACCCGAAGCCCTAAACCCCAAACCCTCGAACCCTTGACCTCCCAATCGTGTTATATAACTGTCCAGCCTAATATAACCCCAAACCCCAAACCCTAAACCCACAACCCTAGCGAGACCCCTTAAGCGCCGAATCTTAAGCCTAGAGCCTCAACCCTAACCCCAAATATCCAAAATTACTTTTATGACGCCGAGGCGGCCCGATGATCGTCGTGAGTTGCAGATCGTGATGCAGGCAATTGCAATATGGTGGGGGTCGAGTTAGCGCCATGGAGGTTGGAGTATATATAGGACCGGCCACGGTTGGGTTTAATCGTATATTAATTATTATATTATTAGGACTAGTAGTAGAAGTGTAGTCCTAGACGCTATAATATCCTAAACACAAACGCACATGCCCCTAGTATCGTATATCGTGGCAAGATCGCAGCACCCGTGAGCATGCGTGTGTCGACGGTATTAGCCCGCAGTCATCGTCCTCGCCATTACGGCGTCCCAACCATCGCTTGGGCCGTGAGGTTGAGGTGCTTAGGGCTTTCAAGGGTTTAAGAGTTTGGGGTTATGGGGTTAAGGTTCAGGGTTAAGGCTCAGGGTGTGGATGATAGGGTCGTGGACTAGCTACATTATGCAGATGTGGTGTAGACTTTGCGGTTTCGAACTTATGTTTGGAGGGTTGCGGGTCTAACTAAGATCTGTGAAGGAAGATGCTTGAGTCCATACCCCATCAACACATTTATAATCATAATATACATATATATATATATGTATATATATATATATATATTCATACATATAATAACATCTCGGCCCTTATATATATATATATATATATATATCATACACCTATATATATATATATATATATATATATATATATATTATCGGGTCAATAATGCCTTAGGAATTGTGGAGCGCCAGGATTTTGGGCTTATGAGCTGTTTCATGGCTTGTTGTTGCTCGGGCTTCTGTTTGCAGACATCGGGACCATAGGGTTTGTGGAGTTCTAAGGTTTGGGGCTTCCGGTTGGCACCTTATTGGTATAGTGTTTGGGGTTTTTCAGGTAATAAGGTTATATTTATATGTTGCGATATAGCCAAGGCATGAGGGATTCGGAAATCCAACTCGTCGTGCAAAACCCTAATTCCGTTGCAAGCAAACTCGATCATGAAGGAGTATAACAAAATCCTTCAACCCCAAACACCAAATCCCAAACTAGCTCAAACACGTTCCTGAAGGAGGACAACGAACGGTAGCCGTAGCCTTCATCCCCAAACCCCGAAACTCCTGCAGCCCTAAACCTTTAAACCCCAACCCCCCTAACCACCCTACGGCAACCCCCTTAATAACCCTACGGCCCTAAAGCCCTCTGAACCGATAAACCCACACCCAAATAAAAGGTCTTCATATCTAAGCCCTTAAAGGAGCCAGGGTGTCCCATTGCATGCCTTGCCAGCGAATATTTGCATCTCGCTGTACCACAGGTGTCGATCTTGAGCTCCTTGCACCTGCGTGTGTTTCGCTACCCTTAAGAATCATTTTACCATTGATTGCATCAGTCGCAAGCCATCGGTACCATTGACAATGCAAGATTCCGAGTGCCTGGTCGTGGATGATCATCTCGTCTCGATGTCGATGTCGTCCGGGAGATGCCTGTTGCAGATCGCAGAATTAATGCTTGTTTCAGTTCAATATCCTGGATTGGGCTCTGAGGCATTCGACTTTTGAATCCAGAGCGAAACAATTCAATTCCTGGCCCCCCCCTGGAATACCTGGTCGGCTATGAGCATCATGCCCCGATCGCGAGGTCGCTCTCGAAGTTCCTCATGCAATTGCCAGGCGCGGGGGGGGGGGGGAACCGTCAATCCTTTATCTACGACAAGCCCCTAAATGTGTTACCCCTGCAGCCCGAAACCCGCAAACCCCTAACCCACTGAAGCCCTAATTTCGGAACCACTACGACATCCGGATCTTGCGGGATTGGGCTTCGAGTATGTGCTATTCAAGGGACGGGATCCGGAGGTCGCAGCTCTGGATGATGATGTAGCTCCACCTGTAAGCAGGACGGTTCAGACTAAGTTTTAGGGGCTTGGGGTTTGCAGTCGGATTTAATATATACATACCTATAGTCTCCATTGTAGTTCCTTTTTTTGGTTAACCAGTTTTATGGTTAGGACCCTATAATAGCGATTTTGGTTAACCCAAAAAGGAAACTACAATGGAGACTATAGGTACATATATATATATATATATATATATATATTGTATGTATGACTAGTAGCAGCCTTGACGTCGATGTTTCGATCGAGATCTCGATCTCGGCCGTTGTGTTCCTGCGTTGGGGCTGACAACCAGGTTCATATGGGAGTTTTGGGTTTTAGAGTTCGGCCCGTCAAGTATATAGATGGTTTAGGGGTGAAGCATTTTAAGGTGTTATTCGCTCTTGGGTTTAGGGTTTAGGGTAAGGACTTTCGGGGTTAAAGGATTAAGGTTTTAGGGTTCAGCAGAGTCCAGGTTTGTAGGGTTTAGTGGTTGCGGCTCCATGTGGCCAGCTAGCCAGACTCGAAACTTGGAAGGTTGGAGGGTTAAGGCTTTGGGGAGTCGTGCCATCAGGTTGGACACATTTCGGAGAGAAATCGGCGATTTTGGAATACGGCTTATTTCAGTTTAGACGAGGGTTGTGCTTTGTTGGTTCAGGGGTCATATGAGTACGAGGCATATTTGGCTTAGGGGTTTAAATTTCGAGGTTTAGGGCGTATCAGGTTATAGGATTCAGGGCGTTTAGGGCTAGGGGTGTAGCTCCGGGGTTTTAGGGTTAACACCGTTAAGATCTAGATCGCGACAGCCTTGCCAAGGTCGGCCACATAGCACCGCGTGCACACCCAATTTTTCGAGGTGCGCCCCCGGTTCGTGCCAGGTTCAAGCCCGTCACGTACTTAAGGATTAAGAGGTTCTACAGCATGCCCGGGAAATCAGAATGTATCAGTGCAGTCCAAGTTTTCGGATATGCGGTTGGGCGTTAAGGCTTGAAATCCCGGGTGTCCAAGCTGAGGGTTTGGGCTATCGGGTGTCTATATAGCAGGTGCTTCTTCACTGTTTAGGTCTCGGGTTTGCACTGTGATGCCCCCTACTGCCTGCTGTCACACCTCTGCATGACACTCCAAAAGATGGCGATAGTCGCCTGTTACAGAGACAGTCCAGCAGCCTGCATGCACATTGCATTGGTAGTACTAGTACTAGAGCATTTATTATGACATCTAGACCCACGCACCATACAGCTGTCACAGACTGCCAGATCTAAATCTCTGCCATTCCAAAATCACAGCGATACCCTGCTGATATCGCTCACGGCTGCACCCTCCACAGATATACTGCTGCAAGCCTAGGCGTTCCTCGCCTTTGCTTTTCCCTTCGGTTTGCTGTTGCTCTTGGGCTTCGGGTTGGCCTTCTTGATGGCGTCACGAATGGGCTGGGCATGGAATTTGAAGTCGGTGATACTCTTCTGGAGAGCCTTGCGAGAGTCGTCGGGAATAACTATACACATATTTCTTCTAGATATTTTCAGTTTGGCTGCTACTTGTGCATGCCTCCACACATGCTTTCATCTGGACCTCATCCACCTTGTTGCCCATCGCAGATGCCACATCGTGCTTCGAGCTGGAGAGCATCAGGTGGAACGGCGCGAGGTCCTTCATGAGGGCGTCACGGAAGTTCTCAGACCTGGGCATACAGTTTTAAGTTCAGAGTATAGGGTTTAGGGTTAAGGATTTCCGTTTAAGTTTGGGGGCGATGTGGGACTTGGGTGATTTGTCTTTAAAATGGGAGTTTCGAATTGATGAGCGGTGTAGAATCGAATTTCAGTGGTGACGGGCAGGGGAACACACAAGGAGTCTAGGATCTGGGATGTTGTTTATTTTGTTGTTTAGGGTTCAGCTGTGAAGCTGTAGTGGGCTATACACACAAAAGGCTTTAAGTCTGTAAGCGGTGTCTAGGGTGCTGGGTGTGTGCACACTGCTAGCTCATAGCCGAGCTCAACCTAAATCCCAAACTCCCCACCTGAACCCCCTAACCCGAAGACTTAAGCACCCCAAGCCGTGAACCTAATAGACCTCAAGCCAGCAACGTACACGTCCGAAAACACTGGCAAATCATTAAAAACCTTTATGTTTCTATGTCGAGGGCTGCGGTGTGGTGCATAGTATACACCCGAGCTCTAAAGTCCCAACCCCACCAATCTGAACCCAAGACCCGAAACCCTAAGCGCCTCAAGCCCTGAACTTGGAGTCCGAGCAACCTCGCAACCTGGACATGTATAATGTGTGTGTACATATTTAGATATTAGTTGATTAACTCCTATCATATGCACAGATAATTAAAAACATACATATATATACATATATATATATACATATGTACAATGTATCATGTAGAGGAGTAATAATAGAGACAGGGCACACCCCTGCGACTTTCAGCGACTTTAGGAAGCCTTCGTACTCGGTGAGTTCCAGATTCGCTTTCTGATCGGCCTCCGAAAAGATCTAGAAAAAATGTTGCGAATGCAGGATGGCAGAATACTCGGACTCGTGACACTAGCTATCTAGCCTCTCTGGCAAGCTGTGCCCACGTCTTTTCCTTCTTCGGCTTGGGGATCGGCTTGGGTGGCTTCGGATTTTGGCCCTGGCCAGCGCCCACATTGTCTTGCTCGGCAAGCAACTTCTCCCTTGGAGCACAGTGATACGATCGAATCGCTCGATTAAAACTACCCAGCTATGAATTCGAATCTTGAAGCTATATATATATATATATATAGTTTAGTGCAAGCGGGGCAACATGGCTTCAAAAGCATCATCCTGCTCCACATCCGCCGTCATCTCGATTTGCGCCTCGGAGCTTTCGACCTTTCGACGCATCTCTTTGGAAGAGGAGAAGTTCTTGTAGCGGAACTGCTCCTGTACAATGTTGTCATGAACGCATATTGCACTCCCCGGGTGCATCATGCACGACAAATATGCTCTCATGATCACAGGCCTCGACACCAGGAAAGTCTGGGTGCCTCACCCGGCGTGTCACTGGGTTTTCTCCGCTACGGATTTATTGCCATACGATATATACAATCCAAGATACTCCTTGATGAAGCGGCCTGTTCGTCGAGGGTCGGATGTCTCGTGCCGCTGCTTTAGGTCGGCAGCGAGTTCTGGTCCTAATTCGCGGATCATGGTGGCCATCGTCCACCACTCGTAAGTGTCTTCCGACTCAGTGCTGTTCGTGGTCCTCGGGAGTTCGAATCGAAATCGAAGCAATACAGGCACACACACACACACGATTTTATTAACCGGGGTACAAAGCGTATCTACCAAGGAACTCGTTAAGAGTACACATGTATGTATATATATGTATATGTGTATATATTTATGTATATTTATTTGTTGTATCCATATATATATAGATGGGTTGTGATAAGAGATCTTCTGATGATGAGACTTGCTAACTGTTTGGTTTCGGAGTTGAGGGATCGATTTGTGTTTCGTGTTTGGGGTCTCTGCTATAACATGTGTATGTAAAAAACCTTTGGGGTCCACATGTTGATACCGGAACATCTAGACCCTGGGTTGTGAGTTGTGCCGCCAATCAGCACTTAATATAAAGCGGCCCACATCATGGGTTCCTGAAAGCCTTATAAGAGCCTAAACCGCTAATAAAGCAATCCCTGAAACCCTATCTATATATATATATGTATATGTATACCCCTTCTAAAAGGATCCCTGAAACCCGAAGCCTAAACCGCCGAGTTAACTCTAAACCCTGACACCCGAAATCGAATCTTCCACTACACCCGCTAATTCATAACTCTAGACCACAGGCCTTCAGACTAAATCCAAGTTTCGATTAGCTTATTAGCTTGAATCCAAGAGAAGCCATAATTACGAGCCCAAGTGGCTTAATCCGAATGATCATCTTGCATTCAGCCCAAACTCCACGACACGACAGGTAGTGGAGATAAAGCTGATGCATTTTCTCCCGATCTGAGAGGCAGGCATTCGATGGAGAGCCTAGTTCAAACTATGGCTAGCTACATATGTACGTACTGGTTCTCTAACCAACTATATACCACAAGGAGGTTGTCAGGCTTTATTTCTTGGGGATACCAAGTAGCTGCCCTCGGCATCGATGCGCTTCTTTGCAACATCGGGGTCCACATCTTGGCCTGAGAAGATGGATTTTTTTTGTAGCTTGGTATTTCGGATCTTTTGGGGTGGTTACATATAGTTTATAAAATACTGACATTATCATTGCTTCAAGTGTCCTCGTGTCGAGCGGTAGAACCGCATGTACAGCGCGTGTGGTGACAACCATTGCCCACGACGGTTTTTCCGCCATGAGTCCGGGTCGTCCGCCTTGTTGTACCCCTTCCCAGGGCTGGCCTTCGTCTCGGACTTCACAGCAGCATCGCTCTGCTGCTTGACGGGGGTTGAGGTGTCGACCTGCTTCGGTGCCGGTGCTGCCCGCTCCTCGAGCTTTACCCCGGGGTTCTGCTGCTTGACGGGGGTTGAGGTGTCGACCTGCTTCGGTGCGGATGTTGCCTGCTCCTCGAGCTTTGCCCCGGGGTTCTCCTGCTGCTTGACGGGGGTTGCGGTGTCGACCTCCATCGGTGCGGGTGTTGCCTGCTCCTCGAGCTTTGCCCCGGGGTTCTGCTGCTTGATGGGTGTTGCGACATCGACCTGCATCGGTGCAGACTCACGCTTTGACAATGCAGGGTCTTGCGGCTCTGCATAGAAACGCGATCGATCGGGGCTGCGATGGCTGTCCCCATAGGCCTGATCGAGGTATTGCTCCACACTGCTGGGGCCTTTGTACACATCGGGGGCAAACTTTGGTACGGGAGGCTTCTCCCGAGGTGTGCTCAGTGCCGCAGCGTCAACCCCGAGAGTGGCCTGGGATTCCACTTTGCAAGGCTCCACTACCGGCTGCTGCATCACGGGGGGGTCCACTTTGCTTGGCTCCACTGTTGGCTGCTGCATCACGGGCGCCGCATCGGCCTGGGATTCCACTTTGCTTGGCTCCACTGTCGGCTGCTGCATCACGGGGGCCTGGGATTCCACTTTGCTCGGCTGCTGCATCACGGAGGCCTGGGGTTCCACTTTGCTTGGCTCCACTGTCGGCTGCTGCATCACTGGGGCCTGGGATTCCACTTTGCTTGGCTCCACTGTTGGCTGCTGCATCACGGAGGCCTGGGGTTCCACTTTGCTTGGCTCCACTGTCGGCTGCTGCATCACCAAGGGGCCAGTAAGCACCTGAACAAGCCCAGGTTGTTAATTGTTTGTCTAGACATCGAACCATGTCGTTTAGAGATTAGGATTTGAAGGGCTTTTCGTAGGTTTATCGGGGGCATCTACCACGTTTACCAAATATAGGAACTCTACTATGCCTTCTATAGCTAGCTAGCACTTTATATAGTTGTATTATAATTATAAGATCTTTATACCCTGGAGACTATACCCTGAACTTATTGTTTTTGTGTTTTGCTATCTATGCAATTATCTAGCTCTCGTCTCCTTGTCCCTCTCTCTCTCTAAGGCCTGCTGGGGCTCACCTTTCTGCATCTTCTCCTTCTCCTGTTCTTCTAGAGCAGCTTGAACTGCAACTGCAGTCGGTCTCTGCTGGTCCATGTCCGAGGTCGGGCTACGTTTTAGCGCTGCTTCCACCTCAAGTCTCAAGTCCTCTTGCGTCTGCGAGTCCGTTTGAGTCTGCAGGCTGGAATCGGATGCCCCACGGCCCCACGACCAGCCCTCGTACGGGGACAGATCCTTTGACATCCCTCGGTTGTAAGGCTTCCACCACCTCGATCTTCATCGAGAAAGCTATAAACTTAGACCCGAATGCATAGCTACAGCCACAAAGCTTAGAAACAAAGTGCACTGGTGGGATGGTAAGTCACTGCTTCTGGGGACCATATCCCCAATCATAGTCCCAAGAGCATGAGGACCAGGAGCGCGGCATCCAGTCAGTGCTACTTCCCCACCAACCGTCGTCGTTGTCGAGATCGTCCTCATAAGCCAGCGTCTTGTTGATCGACGTGTCGGTCGACCCTGTCCCAGCATCCACCGTCTCGGTCGACCCTTGCGACTGGAAGGTATCCCTTTCGTCGATAGTAGGTGCTGCCTTCTTCGCGGAATTTGGACCCCTTGGATCATACTTGAACCAGGTACCCTCTCTATAGTACTACGAGAGCTAATTTACAATATTGTTAGTGCTATATGATTCGGAACATACTGTAGCATTATTATGGGATAAAGTTTATGTTCCCAAGGGTTCGGTAGCTAGGGGTTAGGGGACCCAGGGGCTTATAGCTTTAGGTTGAATAGTTTTCATGACGATTCCCAAGACTGCAGTCCCTCAACACACCAATTGCAACCTGGCTATAATATTGCTTCCAATACTAGCTTCTTGTTCTCGTCAGAAACCTAAAGGAGGGCCTCAGGTTCAGGATTCGGCAATATATAACGTAGTTAAGACTTCCGTTCCAGAGGCCCGCAGGTCAGGGTTACCTAACTCCGATGCCCTCAGCCCCAGTGCCCGATCAAAAATTTGAACCCGCATGTTGCTGCACAGGGGCTTGACGGAGTGGCGGCGACCGGGTGCAGCTCCAGGCGTAGAAGCCTTTGGGCGCTTGTAGTCCGGGCTCTTCAGCGGGGTCCTCATGATGCTGCTCGTAGGGTTCGGCATTTCGGATGTGTGTGGCTTGGGGCAGGATTTGGGGCTCTTTATAGGTTTAGGGAATCATAAGATCAGGGGTCTAGAGCTAAATTAGAACTACAAGCATCCTGTGGGCTTGGCTCATGGTATACAACATATGCCTGGCCGGGCCTGCCGTTCGTAACACTATGCTGTAAGCAACCCGATGTGGGTGCTAGACCTAGCATTCAACACGTGAGCCTTATTATAACCTGTAGCCAAGAAACGACTTGGAGGACTTTCCAGTCAAAGGGGTAGGAGCCTCCGAACTCGGGGAGGTCTTGCTTGGTGTAGCGGGAGCAGCCGTGCTCTTCTTGAGTGCAGCTAGGGTAGCCGCCGCCTTGGAGAGGTCGGATGACACGAACGAGGGTGGTCGCTTCCCACTCATCCTGCGCTGCAATCTAGAATCCCGTAACCCGAGACCCTGATTGCTTCTAAATCGATGATGAAATTGGTGCTTTTGGCACTTTAGATCTGATTTGGAAAGCGCATAAGCCCGATTCTATCCCGAAGTTAGGGCCTGGACAGGGTCCCCAAGCGCAGAATGCCGATTCACGGTTCCAAGCCCTGTTTCACGGTTCCAAGGGCTGTTTCACGGTTCCAAGGGGCTGTTTCACGGTTCCAAGGGCTGTTTCACGGACCCCCTGGCTGGGTTCTGGGGCATTATGTAAGCGCGCTTCCAAGAATCCGCACGCAATCCTAGGACTGCGCAACCCGTGGCCTCCTTACATCTCAGTCGGATGCGATTATATGATCAAACCATGATGAGGCATCGCCCAAAACTAAAAAACGTAGAACCCGAAAGCCCCCGAAGGCAGAAGTTGTAATGCATATGTACGTACATACATACATAAATGCCAATATACAATACAAATGCTCTCTAATGCTGTATTTATATACCTATATAATGTAGTATATATATATATATATATATATATGTATATGTATATATATACATATACATAAACATATATATGTATATGTATATATATATGTATATATGTACATATTAATTATATTCATAGACATATAGACATATATATATATATATATATATATATATATATATAGCTTAAACATACATGCATATACCAATGCCTAGCTATAGACCTATACATACACATATACCAATGCCTGGCTATACTATACACACACACATATGATTTAAGCGTTTAGGGCTTGATGGTTGGGCTTCTGGGTTTAAGGGGTTAGGGTTCAGGGTCGTGTAGGTGCTACGAAAGGGTTCTTTGCGACATTCGTGCGTTTCTAAGCGGACATACCATGCCGTGCCTATACATTAGATCCAAACATAATATACACAACATCGTACGTACATGTGACATAACAAACACTTCGGGTTTGAGGCTGTAGGGTTGGGGGGTTTAGAATTTAGGGATCACACACTATACTATACATCCCATTGCAATTCCTCATCACATTACATATGACATACATACCTAAACATATACATAAATCCATTTATCAATACAGAGATTAATGCATGCATGCATGTATACACACATACACATACACAACCATGCATCCATACATACATGTGTACGTACATGCATGTAGCTCTGGGCCTTGGAACATGGTACACTTGGCTTCTGGGAGCTCCTGATGGCCCTTAAGGTTTATCAGCTGGATACACCCAGGCCCAAACTTGCATTGTTTCAACCTGAACACAGTACTAGGATCGTAAATGAAGTTTCACTCACAACAAAGTAAACCCGTACACCCTGAAACCACTGAGTCCTCAAACTGTAAAGCCCTATACATCAAAAGCCCTTAAACCCGGAGTCTCCTGGCTCACCTTGGGCGGCACAGAGACAACGCTGTCCTGGAGAATCACTCACTCGCTTCCTCCCTCTCTCTCTCTCTCTCTCTCTCTCTCTCTACTTTATTATATCTTTGCATATATGCAAACAGCTTCCTGGTCACATGTCGAACTACCGCCCCACCGGTGTGAACTCCTCGAAACCCATACCTCAGGGGATCCTTGAATCAACCTGCTGTCAAAAAACCCTGCCTGGCAGATGTGGGCCGCGGGTGAGAGCGTCGAGCGTGCCCCAAAAGGAGGCGCAAAGGGCTTAAAAGATCTTGAGATTTTCGGGATTTGCAATGTTCGATTCGCTTCGGCTTCCGATGCAATAAAGCCACGAGCTGATCGCCTATTTGGTCCCTCGATCTCTTGCAAGCTCAGATTCTGCCGCGATGTCGCAGCAAATTGTCACAGCTAATGCACATGCTATGGGGACACGGCTTTCTATGTTTTGGCAGGTGATCCTGATGACAGCTGTTCACGAACGCCTGATCCCACGCACGTGCAGACGGTGGCATTCGGTCTGAGGGACGTATATTCAGAATCAACTTTGTAACCCCCGCTCGACACAGGATTATCCCTTTAGTGCAACCCTCTCATATTGGAATTTGTGCTTGGTTCTCAGACTCCGGATTGCTGATATGCAACAACATCGAAACCCCCAACCCTAAAAGCTTACCCCAGGCTCTACCCTAAATCCTGAACCGTACACACTAAACCTAAACCCTCAAACTTAAACTCTAAACTGGAAATCCTGAACCCTAGACCCTACCCCAACCCTAAAACCCTACCCTAGGCCTTAACCTAAATCCTGAACCGTGAACTCTAAACCGAAAGCCCTCAAACCTACACTTTAAACTGTAAATCCTCAATCCCAAACCCTCAAGCAGGTTCATGACCCAAAATCCAGAGCCCAAGCCTGAACAGAACTTTACCCTGGGTTAAGCTTGCCTTCGAAATGCACAAGGGTGCCGAACATTTAGAGAACTTGGAATCTAGATATATATATGCATAGTCACGGGTCTGTATACTTCAAAGCCCGTGCGTGGGGCATGTCTTGCTTTTTGGAGGTTTAATTGGGGCCTTAGGGGGATCTGCAAACTTCAAAGCCCGAGGGGCATGTCTTGCATCTTGTAGGTTTGGGGCTGTCTTGCACCATGGGGGTTTGTGGCCTTCTGTATAGATCAGTATTTATTAGGGATTCGGGCTTTGGATAGAGGTGATAGGGACAACTAGTGGTGTCGTCGATGAGAGGGTGCTGTACTGTAGACATATATGGACACACAGAAAACACATGTATATGTTAGAAGCTGCCCCCACCCTGTAATAGTGACCATAAGGATTATATAGGATTATATTAGGGCCCTATTCTATTCCACTATTACAGGGTGGGGGGAGCTTCTAATGTATATGTATATATGTAGAGACCTACAGATGTATGTCTCACACCTCCAACATAGGTATGACTGGCCCTAGGTGTGTGAACTAAGTACAGTCAACTCCAGAAATTTGGAACATCGGTATCCTAATACACATTTATATTAAAGTCAAGAGCAACCCGGCGCTATGCACCAAATGTGTTCCAACTTTCTGGGGTTCACTGTATCTAGCGGATTTGGTGGATGAGAGGTTTTGGAACTCCGGACTAGCTTCGAATATAAAGGCCATGGTGGGTTGTGGGGTACGGTATTTCGCTAACTAACAGATTGCACTGCTTGGATTACATGCAAGCTCCTGAAGGATGGGGTCTATCGGGCTCCAGGGTGTCCAAAAGACCACAGCCTCAAAACTAAAACCCCTCACTCGTAGTACCCCATAGGCTCTGCCGTCATGGGGATCTTTGGGAAGGAAGGCTTCCACAGGCCAGCTTCGATCGCATCCGTAAGGTAGCCCGTGAAGGCAACCTGGGAAATATTGAAATGTCATAGGCACGTTCCCCTCAACCCCCCTAAACCTTTAATCCTAAACCCTCGTCCCTAAACCCCCGGATGACACTTCGCGTTTTGTGGTGAGCGAGCTCATGAGGCACATGTTGTAACCGATCTAATCGCACGCTGCCGTTAAAGTGTGCACACATTGCAAGCCTCTATTCCAGCTTAGTGGCCAAGTTGGCATCTCGCCAAAGCATCCTGACTGCCTGCCGGATACATGACATGTATTCCCAAAAAATCCTGTTGAAACACGCCTAGGATCCATCATGATATCTAGCACAATTCCTATCATACCTCCAATGCCTCAGACAGCTGTGGCATCTCCCTCTGCAGAAAATCAGCCGACGGCGCCGGAGGGATCGAATCCTCAAATCAATGATGATCTCTGAGAATATAGGTGGAACCCCGGCATATCCTCCGGTTTGCACCCAAGATTCTGCAATCTGGCTCATGTGCTGGGCTGCCATAAAGCGGCAGAAGTTGTAGGGATATCGGCTTGTCGTCTTCAGCCCTGCATCTGCTGTCCTGAGCAGTAGTACTAGTGATGTCGCGAAGTAGAAGTATTACGTAGTCGCGAACGTAGTAGCGCAGTACTGATTGCAGGTGGGTGGGGTGCTGTTTAGGTTTAGGCTTTAAGGTGGTTTAGGGCCACAACCACAACCGGAATTTCCACCGCCATATCAACAACCACAACCCCCACCACCACCACCACCAACACCACCACCACCACCGCCGTAACCAAACCGGAACCCCCACCACCACCACAAGACGAACCACAACATGTACAAGAGGACTACCAGAAGTACTAATTAGTACTATACCTAGGTTATCTAGCTCACGAAAACCAGTGCTACTGCTAGTGCTAGTGCCAGTGGCATTAATGCCAGTGCCAATGCTAGTGTTAGCGCTAGTGCTAGTGCTACTACTGTACTGCTCCTGCTCCTGCTCCCGCCACTGCTACTGCTGCTACTGTTACCGCTACCACTACTGCTGCTAGTCTATCGTATACGTATCTTGTTATTACGGTCGACTACGAGCACGCCAGACGACGCCAGAGGGCCGTAATCAAAGAGCCCACCCCAAAACCAATTGACAATTCAACTCCCAAAAGCGGCAACCCCTTTAAAAGCTTAACTTTAAAGTGTCGCAGCTTGCAATACGCATACAGCCACAGCCGCATCAACCATACCACACCTGATCCTGTGTTACGCTATACAAGCCCTGGCCCTGGAGCTCCGAACACGGCCAACCCTTGAGGAGGGGTTGTAAATGCATAGGGCTTTGAAAGATTGAAAGCATGCGGCTTTAAAAATCATGCAATGTGTAAGTGGCTAGGCCAAGCCTAACGTCGGCAAGCGGTCTATCTGTCTACCTATCTATCTATCTATCTATATATATATATATATATATTGTCAATCGATCCCTACCTAATCAAGACGCCGCTCGCACGTGTTTCTCGTCGTCGTCGTCGTCGCTCCAAGATCGCAGCTCCCGTATGCACAAGCATGCAAGCTTATGGGCACTTGCTGCCGAATCAGCGGCCCTTTGGCGGCAGCGGCCGAGCCAGTCGTAAATCAATTTTATCAATTTACCCGCTATGCTACTGCGAATCCCGAAGCCCGAAAAGGCCCAAAA